GTCGTCGCATATGTGGCTAAAAAAACTATTTACTCGTCACGCAATTTCAAAGGAATAGAAAATTACACGTTTATCGAAATAATTTTTATGTTAAGCACAATTGCTATCGAGTTTTATCTTTAACATAATGGGTTTCCAAAGTATAAGTTGTGCGAGCTTCACGACATATTCCACGTTATTTTACGTGATACACGCTTGGTTTCCTATTATGTATAATTACGGAACTCAGTTACGAAATCGCTAAAGCGAAGAACAATTGGTCGTCGTTAAGAACATGCCATATAATGCCGGAACGATAAATGCATGTAGTTATTTCCACGAAACTGCGAATTTTACTTGAATGAATAATATCGATAAAAAAAAGATGTATCTTTTATGAAATGACTAAGCTTTGGGCGACTGATAAACGATGCGTTGCATCAACAAAGGAAACGATGATCTTGTGCAAACGCTTTTAGGAATCCCCGTTATCACCACGGGTCGCAGTCTCCGCCCCCCATCTGCTCATGTAAATAGTAAGTACACAAGAAATGTGGTCATGTTATCTACAATCAGACATATAAAGAAATTTAACTACTTACGAGTTATATTCCATCTCTTAAACATATACGTATTTAAAATGAACATTATATCGATTAGTATATTAAAAATTTGTTCGTATCCCCGTGAATTAGCAAAATCAAGGAACAGTTTTCCTTAAAACAGAACGGAATTTGGGTGCAGTAGCTATCGAAAAACATTTATCTTCCTTGCAAATTGGAGGAATAAAATTGGAAAAGTAGCGCAGTTTCGCGAATATCCCAATTTCCCACTTCATATTTCAAACAAGTAAAAAATTTAACTTGGAAGGTAAACCATCTGGCGGAAATTTAAGGGGACGCAAATTGCTCTTGAAAACACAACCGGTACGCAAGACACGGCGAACAAACCTGTGAACTCGTCGGCATGTATGCTAGCCAGTGTGTTTAGCAAAAATAAGTAAATATACTCCATCACGCAGGTCACTAGAGTACATTGAAGTTAACGCAAGAGTAAGCATCAGCAAAATGAAATTTGCGGCAATATCGACGACGTGCGAAATAGATCAATTGAATCTGGAAGTTAACAGGTTTAAAAACAAGAACAAGCCAACGCTAATGACATCAATTACCTCTGCACCTTCTACTTAAGAAGAAAAAAGACGCGAGTTTCGTATCTCTTACCGCAGCAGTGCAATCTTTATTGGCATAAGAACGCAATAAATTATCGTATTACTTATCGTATTGCTTTTGAAACGACCATTGTGGAATTTTACGTGACAACATCGTACTCGATCATGTTTCTCAATCCGTACATTGTAATCGCAAATATTTTTATTTACAATTGTACTGTTTGGTGCGTATCAACCTTGCATCAGATGTATTCAATTCAGCGAAGCTATTACGCAATTCTTAGCGCATTTAACGCGCCCACAACCAGCTTCTATCTAATTAAAAACGAGATAAGTGGGAAAACCCGAATGAAACGATCGGCATGCAAGTAAATTTTCTTTGCTGCGCAAACAACGCTAAAAACGAGAAGCCATTGCCCGGGAAGATGCCTTGAAAGCGTGTTCAATTGTTCTAAGTGCAGTTCTAAGAATCAACTTTTGCACTGCCAATAGAACGCATGTCAGACGCAAACATGTCTCATCCAGAGATTAGTCGCGACAATAATTCACAGAAGAAACCATCTTAGTCGTAATGCTTCTGAATTCGCATGCAATAGCTGGTTCGAATAAAATTTTCGTTTTGACGATCATATTTTCCCCTTTTTTGCACCACTTTTTTTTTTAATGAAATAAGTGGAAGCTACGATTACAAAGCTGAAACAAAACTTAAACAACCGTTCAGATTTAGTTCATTGGATGTTTTATTCCATTGAATCGCGTAGCGGATCAGGTTCATATTCCACGATTGAATGAGAACTGACGCGGAAAACGAAGATAGGAAAGACGAGCTTCGATGAAAACTATTTAGGTAGAAATGTTTGTTCGAAGGTTAATTTCCGTCTTCGATGCTGACGCGAAACCAGTCGAAGCGATCTTCGCGTCATTTTAACGTGCAAAGACGCGAGAGCAATTAAGTTCCTGTAATTTACAACGAATGATAGCAATAACGATGGATAAAAAAAAAAAGAAAATATAATATTGACGCGCAAATTACTAAATTTCCAAATTAATAAACGTTGATTCGTCAAACTTCCATCAACATCGCAATAACCCATAAAGTAGTTAAAAAATGACCTAGTTGTCCAGCCCCGTTTCCCAGAGATAAAAGTTACCTCGAAATAAAGCAGGATTTTTATTAAATGTGCAGGGATAATTCTACGCCCTCGTTTCGGCGCCGGGAGTTTCCTTATTAGGATACTACGAATACAAACATTTTTATCCTTTAAAAATTTTATCCCGCAAAGAGTTTCAAAAACGGCGAGCGGAAATGTTTTGCGAGAATTTGTAGCCTTCCTTTTTAAATAAAGAATTACATTTAAGCCTATGATATTATCATTTATACCCTGTTTCTTTATTTTCTTTCTTTTTCTTTCAAACGAATATTAGCACATCGTTTCATCTCAAACAATCATCATCACTCATTTTTGGTCAAAATTTAAATCAGATACATTACCTCTTGCTGTTATAATTTAATACCTTCGAGTGTGGAACACGACCAATTGAAATTATATCATGACATTTCAGCATAAAAATAACGTAAAAGATCACACGTATCGACATTTTTTCATACTTTTCAGAAATTTAAGACGTTGTTTAACGATAGGGAAACAAGATCATGTCGAAAATACCTTCAAGCGCGTAACAGAGTAAAATTTCCTTTAACTCTAAAAATAATAATTACCTATTTTGAACAAAAAAACTAACAATCAACGTAAAATATATGCTTTCGTTTTTTCCCAAAACACAAAGGAGGCATTGAAACATCTACGCCTCGTTTACAAAAGATTGTTTAATATTATCTCAAATGCAGGAAATACTGAACAAATATCTTCGTGTAAAATGTTGAAAATATGTAAAATATTTAAAGTAAACTACCGACAAGAAATTAGCAAATTCTCACCGTGATAGTTTACAAACAGTTTCATAGAATATAACGCAAATTACGCGAACGCAGAGAAGTATCAAAATTACAGTCAAATATTCTCGGATCCTTTTTGAAGGAACCTAGGAATGTTCCTCTTCAACGAGTCAGAGCCAAGCTCGATATTACACGTCACGGGAAAAGATGAGCCTCGCATGATTGAGCCCACCCACCTCACAGAAATTTCTCACTTTGATCGCGAAACCACGAAAAACTTTCTGGCCGTGATATCAAGGTCGATTTGGTATTCCGGAGAACCAATCTATCCACAGAAATAAACATCAATCCGTCGTACTATCCGAGAAATCGATAACAAACCGAAACGACGATCGCAAAACGATAGAAATACAATTAATTTGAACGCAACGCATATCTGCTTTACACGACGGTAAGAAAGTTGCGACGATTGGAAAGAAATTGAGCAACTTTACTTGTCCTTGCAGATAAAGCAAGCAGAAAATTCCGCTAAAACGACTTCCTTGTATTTTTTTCATTTTTGAATTATCATCCAGGTAATTGTTGCGAATATTTCAAAAGCTTTCATATCCTACATAGCACATAGTGTAAGCGTAATAAAATTATGAATAATTTGTTTTTGAAAAATTCCTTCTCCCTCGATTCATAGAGATTGTTAATTATAAAGCAGAGATAAGAGAACTTTCGTCGATGGCTGTTTCAATGTTTTCAAGTGGTTACACAAAGAGAGATCTTTGATGCGCATTCCGAAGGACTTTGCTTATTACCTCCTTCACTTTGCTTCATTTTATATAATACAGTTCTTAAATAACGATCGCTGAAAAGACACGGTCGCTGCATCATTCGAGACGGACTAATTGTCCATGTCAGAAAACTTACGGATGAACTCGAATCGGCAACTAACAGAAGAATTTAGCATTTAGGGTTTGCAGCGATTTTAGATTTCGAGGAAATTGATACTTTGCGACAAGGGTCATATTATATTTGCTCATCAAACAGTCGTCGGGTTAATTATATCCATCGTATTAATAATAAAAGCTAAGCATGATACTCTGAACAGTTACAAATTAGCATACGTTCCAACGGTTGTTTGAAAGCCAACGCAAAAGTCGCAAATATAAGGAACTTCATCAAGAAACCGAATCATGCGTTTCAGATCAAACATGCAATGCAACACTATGCCTTCACCTTTGTATCCAAAATTATTCTTGACACTTGACTGTCTTGTCTATGAATGATTCTCAATGATTACAAAACGTTTCAAGAGGAATTACAACACAATCTTCCTTTTCGACAATGCTAATATTGAGTTAGAGTGCGATCGAAAGGGAAAAACCTGCGTATTTTCCCGATTTGCGCAATCACAGCTGTATTTTACGCAATACGTACAATATCAATAACGCTTGCGCGTTTATACGTTACGTTCCTAGTTATGTGGCACATTTTTTGTCAATCACACGTTAACAAAAAATTAATAATATTGTACAATATAATATTGTATACTATCGCATAATTTATATCCATGATATGCAAAGTTGTTCTACGAATGCGAATAATTCGAAGATACATGAGGCGATGTAATACTGACATTAGTTTTAATAGAATTCCAGATACTTGCAGCGTGAAATAAACAAGAAATAGTTGTTTGTTAAACTGTGGTTTTTGGCATTACTGTCAGTAAGTTAATGCATTTTTGATGCATTTTCAATGCCATCGTTTAATTTATATTAGCCCATATAAATCATATTATCTAATAGCTTAAGATTAAGAGTGAAATTTTAGCATCTTGAACTATTCAGAAATTGTGCAACAAAGTAAATGAAAAAATTAATAAATCGCGTATCGTATCTCTTCCATAATCTTCGAATTACCGCGAAAAGTATTTCGAGGAAAAAACGCGGGGTATGCTCCTACCTTATCGAGATATTGAAATCCATGTTCCCGTGCGACCTGCTTGGCGACTTCCGCTCCTCCTTCGATATGCACTGCCCATTGATTCGTATAGGCTGCCACTCGTCCACCAAGAGTCACCAGCGCGACGATGGCCAGTCCGAAGATCTTCCGCGGGCACATGATAGCTCTGCCTCTCGACTGCAACTGTTACCACTAGCGGCTCCAGTTTCACACTCAACACTATTATTCACTATCCACTAAAACAGCCGCTGCTACCGGCGGAGGAGGCAACGGAGATAACAAGAACAAGAACAACGACAACAAACAACGGCACCAGCACTGCCACCACGAACAACACGGCTCACTTATCTATCTATCGCACGCACGATAGAAATAAACGTCTTTTAGCGAATTGTTCAAAGGCAAGCGATAATAGACTGGATGATAGCGAAGGTGAAGAACAGAGAGACACATAAGAGGGAAAGAGAGAAAACGGGAAAAGGTGAAATATGACAGTATAGCTGGCACCTGCTGACCGTCTACGGCCAACTGAACTGCCAGCGGACTATGTTACTCGTTAAGTAGCCTCCGCACTTGCGAACCGATGACTACCGACTTTCTGTTGTTCTTCTTCCCTCTACTTCCCCGTCGTCGTCGTCATCGGTGTCGTCGATGGTTGTCGTCGTCGTCGTCGTCGTTTCGTC